ACCCCCCAACCCCCCCCCCCCCCCCCCACACAAAAATATAGCAACAACAAAATAAAAACAAGCAACCCCTCGCCCCAAAGAAACCCCACAAAAAAATAAGATAACAAAAACAACCCGGAATTTCTAACAGCTTCTCACGACTTGTAAGGGCAGATTCACTGCTCTACACACCCCCCCCCCCCCCCTGTGTCCTCGTTCTGATTCCATTGGGATGTTTACTGTTTCTGGCGGCGGAGACGAGAAGCGAATAAAGTATCCCTTGGTCATCGTCCGACCCTGCGTCTTACCATTACCTCCCGGCGGCCATACATCTCCGTAATCTTCTCTGTGTCGCCTCGTAGCGATCACACAGCCGGATATCCCGGCCCGGGCTAGTCCCCTGAGGGACGCACGGAGCAGACAGTCTGAGACAGTCTCCAGCTATATTGACACAGACCTCGAGGATGTCGTCTCGCCAGCCTCCTCACAGCCGCCACGTGTCCCAGCAGCATCAGCAAAATACCGCCCACCCGGCCCACCCAGACCACCGAGCCCACACTCCAAACACTCACCAGTCCGCTGTGACCCACTCTGCCCATGACCCTCATCATCAGCGGCAGCTACTAACTCTACAAGAAGAGGAACAACAACCGCAACAACATCACCAACATCATTTTCCATACCCCCAGAAGCAACAGCAGCAGCAGCCCTCTCAGCAGCACCCTCACCACCACCCACACCCCAGACCCTCCCAGTCGTGTGCCCACCCCCCTCCCCCCGTGTGGCGCCACGGTGTGTCGGACAGCGGCCTTCACCCCACCAGCAGACGTGCCTATCCCTACCCGGGTACCCGGTTCCGACGGAGCTCCAGGAGTAGGGTCCGCACACTCTCCACCCCCCTGTCGTGTGCTGCGGCCCCGGTAATTCCTCATGATGATAAACTGGCCGTCTTTTGTTTCTTTCGGTAGTGATGGATGAATGCGTACCATTAAGACACGTCGTCATGTACGATTTATTTTCATAACATTTTGACTGTTTTGAGTCATGTGTCCGTATCTCTTTCTTTTTCTCTCCTTTCTCTACCTCTCTCTGTCTATTGCCCTCCCTCTCTGTCTTTCTTTCTATATCTCTCTGACCCCCCTCCCTCTCTCTCTCTCTCCTCCTCCTCCTCCTCT